ATTATTATCATTATTATTATTATTACTATTAATTATTACTATAATGATACCATTATTAATTTTGCAATCAATACTATTATTCTTATTATCATTATTTCAGTTTAGCCTGCCACAAACGAAAATACAAAAAATGGCAATGGTTTTATTTTGTTTTTTTTTTTTTTGTTTACTGAAATATATCAGTCATCAATTATTTCAAAGAGAAAAAAAAAGAAAATTTGAAGCGATTTTGTTAGTATTTCACATCTCTCACACACATTCTTATCTTTTCAAATCTCTTAGTTTTGCCTTTTTTTTTCCAATTTTTCTTTTTTTGTTTTTGCACTCAAAAAAATAACTAACATTTTTGAAAAATTTTTTTTCTATTTCATTTAGAAAATGACGAAAAAAACTTTTGAAAGAATAAGAAGGGATGGGTTAATTCGAAATGAATTTACTTTAGAAATGAAATCATTTAGTAGCAAATAATACAAATGGAATAAATGTTTACGTAAGGTAAATATGACCAGGTAAATAGTAGGTAAATTGATAGATAGATAGATAGATAGTTGATACACATCCATCAAATGAATTATAATTACCGTTACAATGAGCTAGGTAAGAAAAAAAAAAGGGGAGAAAAAGAGGAGAAAAAACAATAACCTTTGACCTTTCCGAATTTTTTTTCCTTTTCTTTTTAATTACATTTGAATGATTGCATTATATAGTATAGCCTTACCTCAATAATATAAAATGATAGAATAAAATTAGTATAAACTAACTTATATCCAAATAAAACGTAATGTAATATTCTTAAAAATGTTATGCTATATCCATCCATTTGTATAATTTGATGAGAACTTTCATTCTTTGAAATGTCATTTGTCACGAAAACAAAAAAAAAAAGGGAAAAGAAAAAAAAAGTGTTTATAATTTTGAAATTAACGATTTGTTTTGCATTTTTTTACAAATTTTATGCAAATTAAACATTTAAATTATAAAAAAAAAAGTGAGGGACTTTGTTATATTTTCCGGTAAAAAAAAGCAAAAGTAATTTCTGCAAATTTTATTTTTAAATGAATAAAATTTGATGAGAAATTCTGGAAAGAAAGAAAAAAAAGGTAATATTAATATGCAAAAAAGGAAAAACATGAAGTTATCAATTAATTGAATTAATTTAACTATGACAAATTTCATTATCAATATCAAATTTATAACTATATAGTTTGAAATGATAATATTTATCGAGTTACAATTTCATACACTAAAAATGTTACATTCTTTTTTTTTTTTTTTTTTATTCTTTTTCAGCGTCATCTGTTGCTCTTGTAGAGTTCAGATAAGTGGCTAGCTTTTAATTAATTAGTCTGTAAATTTTGTCTAAAACTAATAATTAATGAATCTTATCATCCATTCATTTTCATTTCCATTTCCTCGAATTAAAGGCAGATGTAAAGCACATTTGTTGTTAACGAGGATATCCATTTTGTGACAACCGATTGATTGTATTACATTTTCCATTTAATTAATTTATGGTTTGAAATTGAAAATGAAATTGAAATGAATGAAAGTAAATCCATTAAGAAGTACTTGAATTAGGGATGAAAGTGGCATTGATTGGATTTTACAAAATGAAGGAAAAATTGAGGATAAAATAGGATAAGATAGAAAAGAGAATAAAATTTGAAATGAAATTCGAATAAAATAAATAAAAATAATGGAATATTCTAAAGGATGGAATAAATTATTTTTATGAAAAAAAAAAATTTCATTTTTGCATAATTCTTTGTCAAATCACTTTTTCTCATTTTCTTTTCTACCATAAATTTTTTAATTTTTATACCTTTTTATTTTTTATAATTATTTCATAAATTTTTTCAAATTTCAAAAGGAAGAAGAGGGAGAGAGAGCAAAAGAGAGATAATGATTTTTATTTTCATAAAATTTTATTTGAATTGCATCAATTAATTGTTATATAAGAAAGAGATAATAGCGGTATAATCTTTTGATTTAAATTAAAATTTATGAAATGTAATTTTCTTTTATAAGTAAAGATTTGATTTTATCATGAATAGATATATAAATTCATATTCTTATTAAGATAATTTCATTTTGGAATCTCATCAAACATCTAAAGCAAAATAAATTTTAAAAGGTCATTTGAGATTAAATGAAATGACGAAAAAAAAAAAGGGTAACCTTGACATGTCCTCCAATTTCTTCAATCTTCCATAAATTTCTTTCCTCCTCCCTCTTCCTCTTAGAAAAAAAAAAAAAACAAAAAAAAATTTAGGTTTTGGGAAAAAAAAGGTACATGCATATACATTAGTGATATAATTTTTAAAATATATTAAACAAAATTTTTTAAATTTACGAAATCAAATGATTGCGTAAAGGGACAAAAAAAAAATTCCAATTTAAAATTTCTTTTTATTTCCATTACAAATTAACACATAATATTTGAAATTTGAAATTTAAATTTTGAAATTTGCTCTTTTGTTTTTCATTTTTCATTTCAAATTTATAACATAATGTTTGAAATTTAGAATTTAAAATTTGAAATTTGCCCTTTTGTTTTTCATTTTTCATTTCAAATTTATAGCATAATGTTTCAGAAAGGTTTGCAGGAAGCTATTGATATAACGATCTTTTTTTTTTTTGAATGAATTTTATATTTTATACCGTACATTAAAAAAAAAAAATTTACGACATTCATTTTTTTTTTCTCTTCCGAAATAAATATTATTTTTTTTGTCTGAAAAAACATTTACAAAAAATGGGAAATTGTAGTAAAAAAAATCTTAGGAAAAGGTTACAAAATCAAAAATGAAAGACAGACAAACTTTAAGATTTTTGATAAAAATTAAAATTTTAAATTTTGAAAATGGAAATTTAAAAATTTTAAAATTTTTTTTCAGATGACTAAAGCATTACCATGTTGGTTGAAAATAGTAATAACATCACGAACATTGCATGAAAATGAATGGAAAAAATTTGATCGTTTTCTTGTTTTAAATATTGATGAAAATCCGGATGAATTAATTGATTTTATTCATGAAAAATTACCATTTATTGATTCAGATACTATCTTTGAATGTTGTCAGGTTAGTTAGACTTTTGATTTTCTCAGTAAATTCTCCGCATTTTTTAGATGAATTTTTTTTTTTGCCTTTCCAAAAGAAAATGTTATGATATGTTTAATATGCTTTTCATATCAAAAATTTCATTTACATCAATTTTTATGTTTAAAACATTCAATGAAAGTTATTTTAAATAATTTCAATAATTTGAATTAATAATTTTGATAATTTTAATAATTTAAATTAATTGTAAATGATATATTTCAGGGTTCATGGTTCTATGTTTCACAATATTCTCGTGCTTTAAAAGCAAATTTACTTACTTTACCATCAACTTCACGATCATCTAATAATGATTTAGTTACCATTTCACATGGTGACAATTTACTACCAAATGGTGTTTCGGCACTTTTAATGGCAATTGAATCGGAATTACCAACTCATTTAAATTTATATTTACGTTTAATAGCTTCAAGTCGTCGTCCACCAACTCGACAACGTCTTATTGCTGTTACAGTACTTACAGCAAGTCGTCCAGCAAATTTAGTCGAAGCTGATTTACGAGAATGTGAAGCAATTTTTGAATGTACTGATCCATTAATTCTAAGTGGTGCATGGCGTGAACGTTTCATGGATGATGAATGTGAAGAAGGTCATGCATTATGGGCGCAATTTATTCAACGAACGGGTTGTGATACATTACAAACACTTATTGAATTTGCATATCATTTAGCTCATTCTGGTGGTATGTTTAAAGAAAAAAAATTTAAAAAAAAAATTAAATTAAAATTCATCTTTATATTTCTTTTTAAATTTTTCTTAATCCTAATATTTATCGAGAAATAATTTATGCGATAGAATGAAAATGAATTCAATTTAATTAAAATTTCTTATTCAATTTTCATCTAATTTTAGTAATTTTTATTTGGCAATCAATAAGCGTTAAAATTTAAATTATGAAGGTTATTAAAAATTATAGTACTTTTCTTTTTTTTAAAAAATTATAATATTACACCAAATTTACAAAATTATGATTAAAATAATTTTTCAAATTAACAGAATCGATCATTTTTAAACTTTATGATCTGTGCTGCAAAGATAAGAAAAAAAGTTAAAATAGTTAATGGGAACTTTTCTGGTTAAAATGTAAGAAAAGATTAGAAATAATTAATTTAATTCAAATACTTGATTACTGGAATTAAAAAAATTTTATTTCTTCAAATATTTAGACATTTTTTAAAATATTATTTATAGAGAAACTTTTTTTTTAAAAAACATTTTAGAATTACATTATTTGGATCGAATTAGGATATTGCGTGAATTTGGTGCAGATATGATCGAGCTTAAATGTCCTGTATTTGATTATATGACAACTGATTTGTTAGTTAAAGCTGGTGCAATTATTTTGGATCATCGTCAACAAAAGGTATCATCTCACCTATCATATCATTATTATTATTGTTTCAGGAATCAATAAATCATATTTGGTCTTATTGTTTCCTTAATTAAATATCAGATTTTTTAATCCATTAAACTATTATTAATTTTCAATGAAAAATTTGCTCTAACAATTAGTCATTTTATCATTTACTATTATTATTACTATTAATATTATTATTACTATTATTATTATTATTATTATTATTATTATTATTATTATTATTATTATTATTATTATTATTATTATTATTATCATTATTGTTATTATCATTGTTATTATTATTATTATTATTATTATTATTATTATCATTATTATTATTCTTATTCATTATTATTATTTATTATTGTTATCTACTATTATTATTATTTGTTATTATTACTATCACTATTTATTATTATTATTTTATTATGATTTTTATTATTATGATTACTATAACTACATTATTATATTGTTATAATTTTGAAATTTTATTTTAAAAGCGAAATATATTTTGCACTGTTTGAAGTCTTTTAAATTGCTAAATTCTTCGAAACATTGAAATTAATTTCTAGTTTAATGTAAATTGAACAATTGATGAAGTGAATATTCCTCACCATTTCCTTTGATGAATTTGTTATTGTGTAAAGGAAAATGAT